ATTCCTAAATTATGAACATAAAACTATCTGAAGAGAAGAAAAGCTCATAGGTGTATCTGTATCGCTCATTGCTTCATAGTTCTCCGTTATCCAGCAGCCCCAATTAACTATCTCTGATGAATTATTCCTTTTTTTTAATAACCATGATGGACAGGCCAGCTTATGCACATCTCAAGTTCTCAACTAATTCTACAAGTTACCTGCAAAGATCCGTTCCAGTAGGCATTTTGAGTTGTCATGACATAGAATCATTATACTATGTTACATACTCTCAGTAAATCAAGGTTTTAGACATCACACTGGAAGTAAAGGTTTTATAAAGTCATGACACAATGAAAAAAGTCATCCAATCAGGTAAATTATGCAAGAAGAAATCAGTAAATGGCACCCCAAATTATTGTTTACTTTACCATTGAGGCAATCTTTTTAAAGACGAAATCAATTCGCATTTAGCATCGCCTCTTTAACTCCTAGGCTTATATACCGAAACAGCCTAAAAAAGAGTTTATCCTGAAGACTTTAAAAAGGTAACAAACCACAGCTTCAAGTGAACCAACTCCAAAACGTTTTAGTATAATAAAGTTAGCAGCAACATAATAAATATTTGCACTTTTAAATTATTCTGTCAACGCTGTTTTCAATTGGAGTAAAGGAATGAATTATACAGAATACAAATACTTTATTTTCTTTCTTTTCCTTTGAAAATACAGATGCTTTCCTTGGCAGCTAGCAAGAAATTAGATGTAGCGAAATTAAATCCTAGAAACCGATCAACAAAGGTGCTATGTTGTCGTTGAACAATTTTAAAGTCAATAAACATTAAGCATGTACTATTAAGAATGAGAATCTATGGAGTACAAGAAAACACCTTTTAAATATCAAACAAGCTTCAGTTTATACTGTGTTTTGCCTACTCTAGCTCATGTCTAAAATATTCAAACCATAGGCATGCTAAATGACCAACTTGTGTTTTAAAGGCTGGACTTGTCGTAGAAAGTAGCAACATCATTTTGCTTTCTTATTCTACTCTTCTTTTCTTGTATCATCTACTGGATCTAAAGGAGTACTGGTTAGTCACTCTTCATCCATTTCTAATAACCCATTCTTAGTAAAATGCTTAGCAATACCTTGTCTCGGGACAACTTTGGTTGAGTTCCTTGTTGCGGAAGCCAAATGTATATAGTGTGAATAAGTCACAACTACTATACCAAAATTATGACAGCCACCAAATAATAAATAAGACAATAAAGCAACAATAAAGGGAACACCAGAATTTACGAGGTTCGGCTAATTTTGCCTACTCCTCGGACACAACCAATATTTTATTTCACTCCAAAAATACAAGTGAAATAATACTAAAGAGAGAAGATACAAATGCCTTAAACAGATGAGAAGGCAAATGAGAGGTGTGTTTCAATCCTAAACATTAGGCCTTCTTTTATAGGGGAAAAATCCCCCCAAACTTAACTCCCAACCAATGTGGGACTTTGGCATTTTGCCAAACTTCACAATTGACACAGCTCCTCAGCCAATCAAAGTTATTTCTTTGAAAAGACTAATCGCCTGAAAAGCCGGAAGAAAGGATTTGAAATTAATTTTTTATCAAGAATAAAGGAGTTGAAACCACTAAACCTGAATGTAGAATTCAGCATATTTACATTGGATATTGTAAACTAACTGAATCAAATGATTCTCATGAGGAGTCACATTCTTGCAGATTAGCCAAACAACTAAGAAGATATTGAAATAAGAAACGCAGAGTTAAAGAATGAAAAAGAATAAGTAATTTTCCTACCAAAGCTTGTCCGGCCAAGAAATTGAGCTATCAACCCCTGCAGTAGTCTTAGAATACAGAACATTTTTCAATTGAGAGAGATATGGTGTNTGTTGCGGAAGCCAAATGTATATAGTGTGAATAAGTCACAACTACTATACCAAAAATTATGACAGCCACCAAATAATAAATAAGACAATAAAACAACAATAAAGGGAACACCAGAATTTACGAGGTTCGGCTAATTTTGCCTACTCCTCGGACACAACCAATATTTTATTTCACTCCAAAAATACAAGTGAAATAATACTAAAAAGAGAAGATACAAATGCCTTAAACAGATGAGAAGGCAAATGAGAGGTGTGTTTCAATCCTAAACATTAGGCCTTCTTTTATAGGGGAAAAATCCCCCCAAACTTAACTCCCAACCAATGTGGGACTTTGGCATTTTGCCAAACTTCACAATTGACACAGCTCCTCAGCCAATCAAAGTTATTTCTTTGAAAAGACTAATCGCCTGAAAAGCCGGAAGAAAGGATTTGAAATTAATTTTTTATCAAGAATAAAGGAGTTGAAACCACTAAACCTGAATGTAGAATTCAGCATATTTACATTGGATATTGTAAACTAACTGAATCAAATGATTCTCATGAGGAGTCACATTCTTGCAGATTAGCCAAACAACTAAGAAGATATTGAAATAAGAAACGCAGAGTTAAAGAATGAAAAAGAATAAGTAATTTTCCTACCAAAGCTTGTCCGGCCAAGAAATTGAGCTATCAACCCCTGCAGTAGTCTTAGAATACAGAACATTTTTCAATTGAGAGAGATATGGTGTAAGTTTGATTTCGAGTAGCTTGTCTAAAGGGAGTTCAAAGAAGTCATACGAAGATCGAAGAATGAACTTACTATATACATTCCCTGCGGTTGGTTTGCCAATAAAGCACACTCCTCAAGAGTGTCATATATGCCTTTAATGTTGTCCTCTTTAATGTAACCAGGAAGCACTACTTCACAGAAAGTGACAAAAGAGAACAATGCAAGCAGTTAGGTAAATTTTGTAATAAAGATATTAATACTAAATAGGAAAGGACGTTGTTGGATAAGATAGATCCATGAATCTTGATTTTACCTTCCATATTACCAAGCATACAATTGAAGATCCTAACGAAAGTGTGTTGTAGCCTAGGCTAGATCCTAACTGTATAAAAACTTGATTTCCTCCAAAGATGGTCCATACTTTCCACAATGACATTCAAGCTTCTCATGGAAGATGTATACAGAGTCAAATGCAGTTGCACTGCAGAAACCTTCATTCCAAATAACAAGTGTAGCATGTCAACCTCTTCTTTGCCACGGATCCATTGATAAAAAGATTGACCTCCTTGAGGGTAAGTACTCCAATCACCTTAGAAACCTACAGAACAACTGTCACACCTCCTTTTTCCGCCCCCGCGAGGGGTGAATGAGTTTTTCCAATTAAAGGACAAT